TTATTCATCAGATTTCACAATAAAATTTCACTTGGCCACTCTTTAAAAATATAAACAACATAGCAGTGGCCCATGCTTAAATCCCACCAGCACTCTTCATCTTTGCATAGAGATTCACCTTAGCCTATATTTCTTAAGGCTGAAGATCCAAAAAGGTGGCAATTAACCACAAATTCCTGAATCCCCCCCTCTGCAGTAGAAGAAATATACATTGCCTAATTAACAGAAATTACAGCAAATGCCCTGAGTTCTTGGAGGGAGGGCTAGCAGTGCTGCAGCTCAGCATGCACAGAGGCATGGCAGCACCCTGTGCTGCCACTGTCACCCTGGGATGGGACCCAGCTTAGGTGGTGGCACCTCAAGGCTCCGTAGTCTGACCTGGGCAAGGAGAGTGGGGAGCTGGGCCGCTCCCTCACTCCCAGCTCCTCATAAAACCCCAAGATAGAATGCCCTATAAAACTCAGTATAATCCCCGTGGGTCAATGGGATCCCATACAGCCCCACGGCAGAGCGATGCTCCAGCGCAATCCTTCCAAGAGGCAGCCCCTGGGACGTGGTCCTGCTTTCCTAGCAACCAGGGGCTGGATGGGGTCGGGATGGATCCCATGTGGCTGGGGCTGTACACGGAGAGCCCTCATGGGATCTGCGGCACGGCCGGGAGAGGGAGGGAAGCGTGGAGAGACCTCCCTGTGAGGCAGTGGGAGCTGGAGCTGGCCCAAGCACGAGGGCGCATCGTCTCCAAGATACAGTGGCTTGGGGTAGCTTTTCCTAAACAAAGAGCATTATAAAGGAGCCACTGCTGGAAATTTCCATTCCTTTGTTGGGTTGATGCTGTGTAAATAAATGCAGTCCTAAGATTTTTCATAATCCTGGAAAGGTCCGTAAATGAAACTGTATAGTTTGCCAAATCACTGGAGTTCATATATATTATTCCTCAGCTGCCGGGAACATGATATACAATGGCACAGAATATAATGCAAGAAACATATGCTAAAAGTCTTCTTAGAAGCACTCTGTGCATTTCTATGTGGCACGTACAGATATTTCTTTTGTTTTGCTCTATGGGATCTAAAATATTCAACCCATATTACAACTTGGGTTTGTGAATTACTTACCTTAACTCTAAATAATCCTTACTTGACAAGTGACTTTGGTGGCAGCATTTAGTTATTCCCTAGTTTAATGTGTGGGTGCTTTGAAAGCATTTATAAATTAGTATGTGAGATAAATGTGTAATCAACCTTTTACTTTATTCTTCTGCTTTTCTTTATATTTGAATTTTATTTAAAAACAAGACAATTCAGGAAGATCCCATTACGATAATCATATTGTGCCAGATGTATTTATAAGTCAAATGGCTTAAAAATGCCTTTTTAGTGTCTTACTTTTTTGTCATATATGAACACTCACTACATATAGAAGAGATTACAGTCCTGTATCCAGTATATTGGTAATGTAAATGCTGGAGTTATTTAAATAGTAAAGACTATTGTACCCTCATTGTTAGAAATCAGATCTTTTTCTTAAAATAGACTAATAACTTCTCTTGCTAACTCTACCCACTTGAATTCAGTTAATCTGTATTTATAAGATCACTTCTCTGTTTAATGTGGTACAAATGCTTCAGAAATTTCTAAAAGAAACTGTCCTTTAGACTACCGGAATGATGTTTATTACTCTTCTTTCTCATTTTTGAACACACTGACATTTATCTTATATTTAGACCTTCCCAACAGCTATGCCTGCTTTCTTCAGGATGAATATTTTAATTTTGAAAATCATATCCCTTAGTAAGGCAGTTCTATTGGAAATATATAGAAATCTTTTATAGCAGTTTTTAGTTTTAGATCTCAAAGCTCTAGACAAAAGAGAGCACCTAATGAATAGCTGAATAAAATACAAAAGGTACTTTTTCAACATTTGCCTTCTACTTGTCCAAATGGCAATGTTACCATCCATTTCCTAGATATGCTATTTTTCAGTTGGATTAGAAATGTAAAAAACAACACTGCAACCAAAACAACCTAGAAACCAAACCAAAGCAACCCCTCAAACAGGACTATATCTCCATAAGGTAAACCCTAATACTTCTGGCTTACTGGCTGGCTCTCGAATTTCCTTCTGTTTGGACACTGACACAGCACCTCTAATTCTGCAGTGCTCATCTGAGATCCTAATTTTTCCTGACCTCCGTAGTCATATTTGGGGGCTACTATGTCAAAGCATTTCAGCCTCCAGGATGAAGTAGCCTGGTTCAGTCTTCTTTCAAAAGCAGATTATTATGACAAATGTAGGTCTCAAATTGGAATAGATTATAAAAGCTTATTACTGTATTTTAATATAAAATATTGTTAACTAAGGGCATCAAACTTTAAACCAAATTAATAGCAAACCAGGATCCCATAGATTGCAGACTAGTAACTTATCTACCACACAAACAGCTGCACAAATCCCTCACATTTATTTTTTCCAGGCTTTCAACTTTGATTAATAACATGGCAAACCCATGCAAGTCTCAACCATATTAACCACAGCTATATTTTTAGTCTTACTGACATGAACACTTTAATATAATAAAAGGGAAAGGAAAACAGAAGAGGTGTTTCATTAGGACATGAGGATTACTAAAACCGCTGCGTGGAGTATTTGCCAGGAGGTGGTAGGAGAAGAGTTATTACTTACATTTTAGCATGTCGCTAGGATGCAGAGTGAGGATCCCTCAGTGAGATATGTTTGCTCTTTGAAAAAATATTAAGTAATCAGATGGTCCAAGCTCTTCTTACTGACACAATCATAATAGCAAATTATAAACTGAGTTAAGGAGTTGTAAGCACTACATGGAAAACTATTTTTCCGATTTTATTACAAAGTCTGGCAATACAGCAGTGCTACAAGATCCAGAAACTCACATATTAACCTGCCTGTCCTTTTTTATTGATAGATGGCTACATGCAAAAATATATGAAGCGTGCAACCTGGTTGGTTAAAAAAATAGCCCAAACCACAAACCCTCAGCAAATTTGGTCTGGCAGCTAACTACAGGAGTTTATAACCCATTTTAAAAGCATTTATGAAGAGAAAAAAATCCTCCAAACCCAAAAGCCCCTCATCCCACCTGAATGGCTGATATAAACAGCTCCCCCCCAGTATTATATCAGTAAAATAGCAGCTTCAAAACAAATCCAAAGACTAATGCTTGCCAAATGCAAAATTATTCAATATTAAGTGTGTGGCTTAGTGATAATGTGATACTGGGACTAGGGTTAAATTTAGTTCGGTCTCCTAATTGACTGTTCATATGACAGGGGTATTCCTTAGATGAGTTTCTGACATTAAATTCAGCTGAATGAATAGTATTGAACGCATCAGATACATAAACAATATTTGGCTGAGTATGTTGTTTGACTTTCTTCTTTCTGCACCTACCTGCCTACACATTTGCACCAGCAGTATGTTTATAATGAGCCTTTTATAAGGGAGCCAAGCTTTGTAAATCGGAAGAATGGGCAAAACCAGTCACACATTTTTTACTTCTATATTGTTTGCATGTAGAGAGCTACATTTCAAAACCAACGGGAACAGAACAAAGAGATACTGGCATACAGCATCCTAATAGTGACCCTGAAATCACTGCTCAGGACAGCACCCAAATATCATAGTCATGGCTGTACTGGAAACACCCAGGTGCCACAAAGGGGATGCGATAGCCTAGCGAAGAGAAGGGAAGAGCAATAACAAATACCTTGTCAGGCTTTTACTGAGAAGAAAGCATAATTTTTGTTTTGACCTTTACAGCATTTTTAATGTACAACATCTGCAGTGTCAGAAATGCAGGGGAACAGGGAAGGCAACACATCCCAATCTTTTTCTGCCTCTCAGAAAGCAGAAAAAAAAATGTACAGAAAATATTTATATGGCACCAGAGAAAGTGAGACCCTATGCACAATCCTATAGATGAACTTCACGACCGGAGGGATTTGTCTCCTACTTGAATGTTACACAAGCACATGTGAACTATTCCCACTCATCTGCAGTCCCCGTTCTGACATTGGGACTTTGCTTTTTAACTAGCCCAGGCTTGGCTGCGACTAAGATAAATACATTTGGCTGCAACTTTTTTTTTTTTTTTTTCTTTCAAAAAGAGGCAAACTGGATTATAGCAAATAACCTTTAAGATAATTAACTGACAATGCTGCAACTAGCATAAAATCTTCCTTCAGGCGACCCCTAATTTAAGTATTACTGGCACAAAGTGGAGACAGATTGTGCATCACCACCGCAATATTTACATAGCAGAAACCCACAGAGCAGGAAACGTGAGACTCAATGATGCACTAAATTAGGAACAATCATATTCTAGTGTTAATTTGCTTTCTCCTCTATCCAAAATTCAGGTCCAGCAATTGGTACAAATGCACATAAAGCATTCCCATTTTTAATGATTAAGAACCACAATCTGCAAGCAGTTGTCCTCAAAAGTACCTTCACTCACTACTGAGCATGTTTGCAGGATCAAACCCCCAAAAGTGAAACAGGTCTACCAACACAGATTTTTTTAGAATCCCAAGGCTTCCTTATCCACTTATTTATTTCCATAAATGACGTCTGTGCAAGCAGTCTGAGCTGTCTGCCAGGCTACCTGTCTTTTGGTTGCAAATATTTTCGTGTGACAGTAACACCGTGATTCTGCGGCATAATGGAGAATCAGTTTTAATTCACTGAAGCTGTAGATATATGCAGGTACTCAAAAGGCTGCGTAATCAAAAAATTAAAGTTAAAATGGGGGGAAAGAAAAGATAGTAGTTCTATTTCTAAATATATTGGGAAGTGACGCATTTATAATAAATATAGTCTATAGTCTATCCAGAGACAGATTTCACAAGCAGTCCTCTCAGTTATAGAACACTTCATAAGATAAATGCAAAGAGCCACCCCCAACCTTTCTAAATCTTAAATATTAATCAGATTTTCTTTCTATGGTATATTAACAGAATATTTACCTTGCCTAATCGCTGATGTTCTTCAAAAGCAGAAATCAGTTCTTGTGCCCACTTTATTTTTTCAGGGCTCGGAGAGAACTGTTCCTGGACAACAGCAATTTGGTTGGGGTGAATCACCTGCTTACCTACAAAAAAGATTAATAACACCAGAATCATGCATCGACAAACAGATGTTCAAGCAAAATGTTCCAACCACTTGAGGCTCTCATATGCCTTGCAGACTTTTTTGCTCTTTAGCTAATTATTTTACTTGATTTTTTTTTTTTATTTTTAAAACTGGAAAACAGCTTCTTGCCAAAATTTTTGAAGAATAAAAATAAAAAATGGTATGCTTGTATTCAGTATAGTTTAAAAGAACCCATGATGCTTTCTCCTCCCTTCCCGTTTTGATCCATATGTCTCTCAGTCATTTCAGGTGCAATTGTTTGTCTGGGGCAGTCAATAACACTTAAGTATAATGCATCTCTGAATTTAACAATATAAATAACAGCTCCAGACACTCTTAAATAAGTTGTATTAAAGTGTGTTCAGAAAATGAGATCTGAAGGAGACGGCGAGAGATTTGTGGGACTGAAAAGTTTCCAGTAACCTAGGGATCATGCCCTAAATTCTCAGCATTGGCTTGGCATCATAAAATCTTCAATGGTGTTCAAACTGTTGTTGCTGCAATTGTTGGCAGTTGCAGGTAGGCTGCAATATTTATTTAGTCACCAGTATGCTAAACAACTACCAGCAGTGCCCTGAGGTTTTATGAAGCAGGTCTTTTTTAATCCTTTCCTGTATAAACATAAGTTAATAAAATAAAATAAAATAAAAAGTTGCCTTTTTTTTTTTTTTTACTAGAGATTTTCAAACATGAATAGACAGCCACATAATCCATTTTAATCCGTGATTGTATTTAGCTACCTTAAAACAAATACACGTCAAATTTGTTCGCTAGTTTTAAAACTACAGCGTTTGACATTATTAGTTCATTTCTATGCGAATTTCACAGACTGGTGTGATTTCTGCAGTTTGCTTTCAAAGTATTTTAATAAAGAGAGGCTACCGTAATTCCCAGTTTCCCGTGGAATTAATGGCTCTCCTCGGTGCCAGATAACAAAACTAGTTAGAGGGATGAGCCTGATCCCGCAAGCCTGCCAGCAAGTGAGCAGTCCCCTGCAGATCGAGGGTCCCACAGCCCTGCCGTCCTGCCGCCCGCTGCAGCCTCTCGCGGGAGCGAGACTTGCACGCAAGGAAAAGTTTTGGAGTGTCAGGACCTAAGGAGGTTTCCTGCGCGAGGGGGTCTGCTCCCGCATTCTCAGTGACATTGAGCTCGTTAGGAATCGGCCCATCACTTGATCTGAGAAGCCTCATGCGTGGCCGCAGAAATAAACCTATTTTTCAATGAAATAACCACCGCAAAAAAACCCTGGGATTACTTTTATCAGACTACAGTGCATCTGGGTGATAACCTGGAGTACAAAGTAAATCTACTTAATTAAATGAGCAAAGAAATAGTAGTCTTTCAGTGGTACTGTGTTCCTTTGCTAAAAACCTTAAGTGGCTCAATTTTATTTCCTATTAAACAACGTTTAATTTATGGTTTTACAGGCATAAAAATACTCAGTTTGAAATTTCAATTTCATAACTATTTTAAAAATAGTTTAAGAATAGGTAAAAGCTTAAAACCCTGTAAGAACTGTATTTTTTTGAAAGAAATTACACGGAGAATTTTTTATAAGATAATCTTTTTTACGTCTACTCAAAGGTTTTTAGTCAATTTAATAAAATAAAATGCCACCATTAATAAGATAATGATGTTCCTTATTTGCAATATCAGAAATTCTCCCTAGCTAAACTACTAATTCTAAAATTGAAGTGTGTACCAACAATTCTTGAAAAATCTTAAGGAGCTTAACTTTCGGGGAAAAATATTGAGTATATTTTAAATTATATTTAAAGTCAGTCTATAATTATAACAAAATGAAAAATACACATACAGGATTTTTAAAAGTGTAAAAAACATTTCTGTAAAAATATTTGCTTTTATAAAAATGCCTGTAGCAGTAATCTGTGCATTTTATCATCAAAACACTACTGAACAATTTACAGAGAATATAATCTGACTTAATTGATTTATAGCACTTGGTTGATTTTTGTCACAGGCTACATATCCAAATAACTGTATAAGAGACACAATGCCATGCAGGAACGAAGCAAATATTTTAAACAGAATTGTTGTTATTGACAAGTTACTGAGAGAGTGCAAAATTGGAAGACATTAAAATTTATGACCATGAAATCCTTTTTACAGTACCACTTGATATATCGTGCTTTAAATCAATACCTGTCAAGTCTTTTAGGTAACTCTATGATGGTGTCATTTTAGTCTTCTACAAAGGACTGCAAAAGAGAGGAAACCTATACTGTTTCGTGTTTATATCTGGCTTCTCAGCATGTAGCACAGGACTTTCTACAATAACTAAGTCATCTGTTAAAACGTATGGCAAGGTTTACCTAATTTTTTGCATAGACATTTCTAAAACCTACGCCTATTTATATAGGCGACACACTGTTTTAAAAGTCCACAGGTACTGGTATTGTAAAACATCTTGGTGTGTGTTTATGGCTGTATATGTATATAAATAAATATATATAAATATACATATGAAAGGGCTATTGATTTGGCTAAATTTGAAAACATTTGTTTTCATGTTAACACACTCACTGAAGGAAAGCCAGGCTGCTTTTAAGATAACTGGAAAAGAAAACTTGGTTAGAATAAGCAGTGAGGTTCACAACAGTAATTACATAGCTGGTAAATTCTTTGTTATATTATTTCACTTGTTTAATCTCGAGTGAGCGTATTTGATTACACTAAGGTAAATTCTACTGGTGTAATATGGGGATATCTAAGGACACATACCTTTAGTAAATATTTTGGATTTACATTGCTTCTGAGGGTAGTGAATTCAGCCCTTTGCATACAAATAAATGAGTGTTCTCCAGCTAAGAGAGCAGTTTGGAAGCCTCAGGTCATCTGATTCTTTGTGAAAAAGTAGCAAGAAGGAACCTTATATATTTAAAAATTAGAAGAATTGCATGTTTTGGACTTGTTATTAACGCAACATTTCAGCACTTTACTCTCACATTATCAGAGGACTGTCAGTGACAAATACGATGTACATACTTCTGCTGTATACAAGGTCATGGATTAAGCTAAGACCCATTTGTAATTTTCTGTGATGAATGAAATTGGAAATGTTAAAATGTTTCATTTACATAGGTTTGGGAAAAAAATTTGCTTTCAGTTTTGAAATTACATTTTATTTTAATTAAAACAAGAAGGAAAGATTATAAAAGCATTAGATAGACTGGAAAAAAAAAGAAACAAAGAACAAGTGAAACATTTTAGATCGATCTAAATTTTTTTTTTTTTTTGTTACAAAATAAAATGAAAAATGCTGTTTTGTTTTAGCTTAAACAGATTTTTAATTTTTTGCCCCCCCCCCCATCAGAAAAGTCAGTATTGCCTGTCTCTAATTATGGTTGGACTGGTCAGGTTGTTTGCTGGATTTTGGAAACATGTTTTTTCCCTGCGGAAAGGCAGGAGGCAAAGAGCGGGAGCTGTGAGTTCACCTTTATGAAGTCTATGCCTTTTACAGACCTTTACTCCATGTATGGAAAGGCAAGACACATCTAGTGTGGCCAAGTTAGAAAGTCACTATACACTCTAAATTGCCACATGTGACCTTTTTGTTTGTCTCCTGTCTGGACTCTGTCAGACAATGTCAGACAACTTCCACCATAAAGTCTGTGGAGTCCAAACCACCATCAACACTGGTTATGCTGAGCATTTCTAAATTTCCGAAATTGGCAGCCTGAGTTAAGTATTTAAATGCACATTAAGCATTCAGAAAGAGTGCTCTCAAAGGTGCTAGGCATCTGCAGCTCCATCTTCTGTCAACAGGAGGTTCAGATGCTTATTTTTTTTCAAAAATCAAACCTTTCCTTAAGCTAGGAAATATTGCTTGAGACTAGGTAGCCGTCAGCAGGTGCTACCATTCAGCAGCTCTATTATTTTTCCAGCTTCAGAGGCAGATGAGTGGAAGTCCACATGGCCATGGATAATGTAGCTGTGAGGAGCTAGCCATTTCACCTCTGAAACAATATTTGGTTTTGCAAATGTCGAAGCTCATCAGACAGTAAAGCAGAGTTTGTGCTGAAGAGCATCGATCGCTATTCTTTTTCTTTGGAAGCCAAAATCACTTAAAATAACACTTGCTTTTTTCACTTAGTGCTTTAAGATATCATGTAAAGCTAACTGTAAAACCAGAGTTTGCTAGGTGGCGTTGCCAGGACCCTTGCTTTTGGTAACAAAAACCCAAGGGATGTACTAGTAGTGTATGTATACCCTGAGTGATGTTTAGAGAAAGAATAATGAAATGTTCGTCCTATGTATTACAATTCTCTAATGCACGTGTCAAATGGCTGTTTTCTATGGCAGAACCCCAAACTTTGGTGACTGCACTGTCCCAACAGGGTGACCGAGTGACCTGGTACACCAATCACAGTGTAACAGGCCGCATTACAGGACTCAGGGGGAAGGAGCCTGCTGCTCTTGCTCTCTGCCAATACCCATAGGTGTCACCAGCACTTACTGGCAGGGGAGCCAGGAGATGAGAAACAAATCAAAGAAAATAATAAGAAAATAACTTTCTCCTAACAGTTAGCATACGAGATTGGCTTCTCCCCTCCTTTGCCTAAAAAGTATCTTTTAGCAACTGCTGTTGTTAAAACAAAGAGAAAAAGCTACAGCTGTTGAGTGGCCATTGCAGAGTACAGTATCACCTTTCCCGTGCTCTGTGATGGGATGAATCACTGCACAGCCTCTACCCCAACTTCTCTTCAAAACGAGTCACACGCTTCATGGGATGTGGTTTTAGAAAGCAGCCTGTGACTTTTTAGGCAAAATTTCCAGCTGCAATTTTTAAGATGTTAATAAACATAGAAGAGCTTGGTATAATGAGTTTTTCCATAAATGACCTGAAATTAAAAATCAAGTTATTTGTCTAAGTTACAGTAAATGCAGCAATATGTTTAAAATGCAGAAGATATGCATTATTTCGAGACATTGGCAGAAAGTCATACCGGTGAATCCCATTGAGGCACCTTCTCTTGATTGCCTGCGGAGCCCATCTTCATCGTGGAAATCGATGTAAACAAGGTCTATTGCTTGAAGGCCAAATGCCTTTGCTGTGACTATTATTTTTTGCCTGGCATATAGAATATCATGGGTTTCCTTACTGCTTGTTGCACCTACGAAAATAATGAAACCAAAGAGTCTTTTATGACAAGAGTCTTTCAAACCTTTGACAAGAGTCTTTTATGATGACAAGAGTCTTTTAAACCGGCTTTAAATATTTCCTGTTGAAAAAAAAAAAAAAAAAGGAAAGTTTGAGATGGTGTTTAATTAATTTAGAAAACAGAAGAGGGGTGTAAGGCTATATAGCTGCAATGATACTGTTTTGAGGAAAAAACCCGCTACTTTAGCAAAAAAAAAAAAAAAAGCCCTCTCTTTTAAACACTAGCTCATAAACTCAGATTTTGATTTGGTTTAAATTAGAAGTTGTAAGACTGAATTCAGTGTAAGCTTTGTCTGCTGAGGACTGCTGACTTGGAAATAAAATGAAGCAATTATTTGATTTTAGTATTTACTGCATGTACAGTGAGAAGCATTACAGCAAGAGAAGCTCTACAAAAATTGATATACTGAGTCCAACTAAATGGTTAAAAAATTCACACTGAGAATAGAATTGCACTTTCCTTCTTTCTGATTCTTGTCACAACTGATGTCCTAAGCTGAATATTTAAGCTTTAGTATTTGAATGAAAAAATGATGGTAGATGACTTTTGAGAAGAAGCAAAAGTATTCATGAGACTTCATGTGCTCACAGGGCACCAGTTAATCAACGTGCTTATGTGAGGACTGGTGGTAAAAAATTAATAACAAAATAATAATAATGTCATATTTAGACACAGATTTCCAGTTTGTAAGGAATATTTTATAAAGCAATGCTAATTTTTACAGTAACATACTTATTTTTAATTTAGAGGTTGATAGCTCTGTGCTTTTATATTTTATCTTTAAACTGAATCAGAAGCTAAGTGGCTTCTTATAAAAGCAATGGTGAAGCACTTTTTATGTTTTAGGAAGGCTAATAGTGCTTTCCTGTGAATATGTGGCTGTAATGACATGTGACACATTTAAAGTAAATTTATGAAAGCAAAATGTAGCAGGAGAGTGTGCATGATGTCAAAAGCCTGAATGACAGTTGTCTATGAGGAAGTGATGAAGCAGACACAAGAATTTTAGGACTTTCAAATGTAGTTCTAAAAAGCATGTGCATATTGCGTATTTATAGAATATTTTAAAATTATTTCAGTGACTCAACAGGTTTTTTTTCTCATTAATTTTTGGTGCTGAATGGCAAGAAGCACAAGGAAGTGTCAACGCCTTGTAAAATCCAGGGACCATGTTTTACATGTTTTAATTTGCCAGTGATGCATTCTGCATTGAAAAAAATTAATGAGAAAAGTGAAAACATAAAATGCAGAATCAAGTGTTGTCATTGTTGCTGTTGGAAATGCCACAGGCTTCTCCAATGCAAATGCCATACATAAACATTCATAATAAAGAAATAAGTAACAACCTATGCTGGCACGGAAATCCTCTCCTCCAAAGACGACTGCGTCCAAATGAAAGCCAACCTGGGATCCTTTTTTCAGAGCTTCTTCACAGACAGCCTTCAGATGAGAACAGAGTATTAATTTCTACAGAAATGCAGGCTGCAGAAACTACAGAGGATATCACAGCAACTCAGTGTTACCAAAATACTTCAGCAAAATTTGGTCCTATTAAGCAAAGCTGTGGTTGGTGCTTGACTATGCACAGTGTTTTAAAATGACTCAGCAAAAGAAAAAAAGTATTTTTCTTTCCCTTAGCACCTCTGTCCCTAGGCTGTGTAAATACAGGACAACATAGCAGGTTCCCCACCTTCTAGTTAACATAATGCCCTGGGTATTACTGTGATCACTACTTCAGATATCTATGTAACAATACGAAACAAAACATTTGGGAATTACTGCTTGAAAGCAAGCAAAAAAGTATTAAATTTGATTAGTTTGAGATGCAATATATCTGTATGACAAACATAATTAAAGATCAGAATCTCTTTTATGAAATAAATAATATGAATGGTTTAGAATTATTGTAGATTCTTTACAGGATATAAGGATTTCTTATAGGATTGCCAATTTGAAGTCTTCTGCTACATAAAACTAATAATTAGCTAAGGAAGTTAAAAATGCAACAAGTTCTGCAGAAAAGCATTAAAATAAAAGTAAGAAAAATTTTACTCTAAGAAGAGAGTATCAGTGCTATTTTATATCAATGTTTGGATAGTATAAGTATTTTTTAAGGCTAAGGTACTTGGAGAGAGACAGATGTCATTAGCAGCTCTACCAATGCTACAGTTCTTCTACGGCAGTTAGTGGGACACAAAAATATTCTTTATCAGAGTGCTTTAAAAGGCAACTCTCCTGCCAACATCAGGAACTGCAATATTAAACCTCCACTTTGAAATACTGTAGGTGAAGAAAAACCTCAGAGGGTTTAAAATATGGTTTAATTCTTCGTTTGTACACTGGACAGGAGCGTGTCCGTTTGGTTACTGCTTTATTATGCTCCCAGATAGGTTGGTGTGTGCTGTACGATAAGTGGTTGTATCAAATGAGCAGGTTGCCTGTGAGGCCTGCCGGTACTTCTGGAGGTACTTCTGATCTGTGTGTCCTCAGCTGGTCTGAAACTTTTCCCTTAGAGCTTGGGAGGGGAACACAGAGTTTCTTGTGCATGCACAAGGTCTTCCGTTTTCATTACCACGCTGCTTTGCCTTTCTGAAAAATCTGGACTCAATAGTAAGGGTAGGGGAGTGATTTATATTAAAATGAAATTTATAAATTACTCTAAAAATTATCATGTTCTTCAGATATTTTCAAAGTTAATTAAACTTCAAATCTTAGGATTAAACACTTCATCATATGCATGAAGAAACTGTAACATGGAATTTGGTTGTAATGTTACCAGTAGAAACCATTATAAAGATGCAAGTTTAGCAATAGTGAAAGGACGATTAACTCTTTTATCTAATTGAATGTTATACAAAAGTTGAGCCTGACAGCTACTAAATAGCCAAGTGTACTGCAACACTGAGTATTCCAAATCTTTGGAGAAGCCTGTTTCCACTCCAAGTGCGTTCAAAACAGTAACAGGAATGCAGAGACATTTTGTTATTTGGCATGGATTGTCTGGAACTGTCCTGTCACTGGAATATTTTGAATTTATGAAGGACTTTCCAGTACAAACAATCAGAGTTTAATGTGCAAATGTTCTGGGGATTGAACAATATGTTTAGTATTTTTTAACCTCTATTCTGCTTATCCTAGTTTGCTGAGGTGGCAAAATATGAACACTTCAAGACTTGCTTACCTTAAAATTGAGCAAGCCCATTGCAGTTTCCACAAAGGGGATAAAATTCATTGGCTCTACAAGTGTTCGGCCTTTTAGGTGATGTAAGAATTTGTCTGAAAACTAAAACTAGACAGAATGAGCTATCAGAGAGGAAAAAAAGAACAGTCTACTTGTATATATAACATGTTAAATATTCACCTGACTATAACAAACACCTCTCCCCACCCCAAAACCTGATAATTAAAAAAAATTAAAGCAGTTTTTAACAAGGCCTGCGATTTGAAACCGCAGCATTCCCATACATTTGGAGGTTGGTTTGCAAGGAAAAAAGAAAAAACAAACAACTAGGCTTAGCACCTCTCACCCTGGCTTAGTGCAATGCAAATCCGCGGGCCCTGGAAAACAATGAAGTGCTGCTGTACCTGAGGTCCGGTTTTGTTTCAGGTCCAGCACTGCCATCACTGGAAGCACTCCCCAGCCTTCTAAGTGGCATCCGTATTATTCATTACGGCACCGTTACCCTTTTGTTCAATAGGCTTTTCTTCATAATTTTTTAGCTTACCTAGGAAGGCCTTAAAAAGGAAGTTTAATTCTTTGAAGACCAAAGCTTGCCAATTTTTTCCATGAGACCAGTTCACAGCTAGCTCTGAGCTGCCAGTGGGGTAGCCCAAATTCCAAAATCTATCATCTGGAAACATACAAAAGCTCTTGCACAGATTTTTCCCCTTTCAATAGGAAAAAAAAAAAAAAAAAAAAGGAGGAAAAAACCTTCAGCCCTATATTGTAAATCTATTATATCTGTCCAGATCACGTAATTTATGTTGAGATAAACATATTGCAGGTACTGCAAAAATGTTAGTAAATAAAGACAGAAATAACATGCATATATTTTAAATTTAAGGAATATTCGACTATTAATGGATATCAAAGGAAAGGGAATTTTAATCATCTCTCCATTCAGTCTCAGTTGGGTAAATCATATCTAAGAGATTTGCATAAATATAAACCATCAAAGACTTTTCATCTTCAAAGGGGGTTTCAAGACCCTATAAGCTTTGTACTGTAATCATCGCAGGTCACAACCCTGCAGGAATAAGGCTGCTATGGCAACATAAAAAACTAATGCTTAAGGCTTAGCATAATATTCTGACTAATAGAAAGGAAACTCATTTTAAAAGCTGGCAGCCTATTTACCAGAAGCTGGATTAGAGGTGTTATTTCCCCTTTTAGCTTCCCCCCACCACCCCTCCCCAAAAGAAGGAAAAATCTAATCACCCAGATCTTGAGAAAAAAAAAGCTTTCCAGAGATTTGCAGTAACTTTACAATTAGGCCAAAATAAATCACAGCTTTCTTCCATGAAGAATTCTGCCCTTCCCATTCCTGCTTTCATCGTCACTCTGGCCCTCTCTGTAACTTTTCTTTGGACAAGAGAATTCCACTCAAAAATGTGAAAGGCGACTAAAAAAAAACCAGTGCAATTCACTCTGTGTACAGTACAGCAGGTACTACAGTGACAGAAAACAGTAAAGTTCACCCAGGCAAATGCAAAAAATGAGGTAATAAAATTTTATCATCATATATTCTTATCTGTTTTTGTTTTTTTTTTTTTTTTTAAGAGAAAAAAGTGTAAAGTGCTACTGTATTTATATTTTCGGTGCAAGTTAGGGTTTGTTTTATTTTACAGTATTTTAAAAGTCATGCTCCTGGGATTTTTGCTATCTTTTGTTTTGAAGGTAAAGCAAAAAAAAAGAAAAAAAGCACATTTAATTAAATATTGCCTCCCTTCCTCTCCCTTGTAAAAGATTTGCAATAAGCACCAATACAAAAGGTAACGAGTGGAGAAGTTTCAATTAATTTTTTTTTTTTTTTCAAAAGGAGACGATTAAATGTTTCCGGCCTGGTAAAGTGTTCATTTCAGGGAGAAAGGGGAAAAAAAAAAAAAGAAGGCGGAGGAAAAAAAAAACCCACAAAGCTTGGGGAGGGGATGAAGTAGCAAGGCCTCAGCAATTCTTTCAATTCCAGTGCACACCCAATAGTGTGTCGGGAAGAATGCACACTGGTCGGGATTTGTGGGAGAATTGTCCTGCCACAAAGGAGGGAGAGTTACGCTTGTTATAGTCCAATAAGCCATGCCAGTCAAACAAGTACCCACACTAGGGACAAAAGGAAAGCAAGAGATTCTCACACAAAAGAAAACAAGTAAGCCCATCTTTTAGTTGTGCATCAGCCTCCAGGTTTTCTGCTGCACATAAATAAAAATTAAGGGAGGGGAGCGGGTGGGGGGAAAGAAACAGCTTCTGGGAGACTGAAAAATCACGCCGGAGTGAGTTTTGGGTGGATTGGGAAAAGAAGGCAGTGGCGTTCAGCAGAGTGTGTTCTTTGTGTGCAAAGGTTGGGCAAAGGGAGAGGGAAGCAAAAGGAGGACAATGAGGCAGAAGCTGCTGGGATTGGCTTATTTTCCATGATGGAAATAAAAGTTAGTGAGAGGGGAAGTGGAAGAGGATGAGGGGACGAAGAGCCCCGGTATCCCACCTCCCTGCAAAACCTACTTGGTGGCAGCAAGGGCTCTGCCATTTTGGTATCATGAATATTCATTACTGGCAAGTTACGTCTAACACTTACACGGCTGTAAACCCTGAGAGGTATACTCTGGTTAATTTAATTAAATGTTGGTGGAAGGGGATGGTGTGCCTTCCATCGCAAGCAGCAGAGGCCAAAGGGGCAGCACCACAGAACGGACGGGGCTTGTCACACCCCCAGCATATCGGGCTGTGCTCAGCTGTACGTTCAGGCCTGATCTCCATGGTTTGATCAAGGTTAGATGCTGAGATTAAAATAGATCCTAATACATCTGCCTGCCTTTCATCACAGCTTGCACGCGTGCTAGTTGCTTGGCTAGTGGCTTGCAAAAATATAAAGTGAATAATTAAGCATTATTCCTTTACTGTGATGCTACAGGAATAATGGTATATCTAAACAAGTGTCCCTCTTTTTTTGACAATTAAAACAATTATAGCATAATTAGGCCTATTTCAAAGTTTTCTTAAGTAATTTGACATGCCAACCGTTTATATTTCAGATTTTTATTGGCTGAAAAGTCAGTTGTGAAACAAACACACCTGTCAGCAATTAAAAAGGAAGAAATAGAGAACTGTTCAGGAAATAATATCTGTGCTAATTAAAAACACTAGTTAAAAGCTTCCTGTTTGTTCCTCCAGTTGCCCCAAGGAGTGACCTTCCCCCCAACCAATTTTTTCATATGTCGCTAACATGGTTTCCCATCTCTTGCTTCCAGTGCACGTAACTAAGGCTCATGGACAGCCACTAATTTTCCTTGTTAGAATAGTTAGAGAAGCATCAGGCACTTACTCTTCTATTTTTGATAATACACTCTGACAGCAATATTGGTTCTTTGTTGACTGTGGGAGAAAAATGTCTGGTTTTCTTTATAAATGCAACGTGGTCCATGTATGCTTTTTATACAGCACAGCACATCACATCACACACACATTGAAGTGGATGCATTTCCCAATTAGCTTAGCCAAACAACAACACTATATGGTATTTGCAGCCTTCCTCTTAACTTACAGTCATTCATCTCTGTGCCTGTGTGAACTTGACCCAAGAGCTTCAGTCAAAAGCTACTGTGTTGTTGGTACTCACCCATCTTATTTCTTCAGCATTTTCAACCTTTGGCAGCATCATACTTGAAGGAAGGGTCTTAGACTGCAAAAGCACCTCTAGATCTTCTTCTGCAAGGCCACTGGACACAGAGTTTATCCTGACACATTTTTCAGCACGGCCAAAGTCAAACTCTTCAAGGGTTTTCACAATGGCCAGTCTTGCTTCTCTCTAGAATATATGAGTGTAGAGGTACAAGAAAAGAAAAATAAAGCATATTTTTCTATTGACAGGAAAAGTCACCGAGAAGAAAACTTGTTGAAATACATAGGGAAAAATCTGGACAGCCAGTATATTGGTGTCTCCCAAATGTCTGTCACTCTTGGAGTTCAATTGAAGCATTCATCACCAGCACCTTGCAATTTTACCTTCCACTTTACTGTTTCTTCATAACTGGTAAATTAAATGCTTAGGATTTCTACCACTTGTACAAAACAAGACTTTTGTGTCTGCTGTTGCTGAACACATCTAGCAAACACAAATCTTTACATTAAGAAAATGTGTTGCACTATCTGCTGTCTCAAAAAATGGCACGTTATTAAATCTGCATAAAACAACTAATTTTTGTAATTTGTCTCCATAGTGCCTGGACATCAATAAGTACAGTTGTACATATACTTCTTTGGTTTTCCTTTTCTGCTTGTATTCGAAGTATATTAAAGCCAGTAGTAGAGTTCACAACTTGCATATGAGAACAATGCTGAAATAACTTGGAGATTTTTCTTAAGCCACATAAAAAGATATTCTGCTGACAAAAAATAAAATCTCCAAAAACACACGCTTCCTGTGGTAGCTTGCTATTTTTGTAAATGCAGATTTACAAATCTGTTTAATAGCTGATTTGCATGAAGAATAGTTGCATGCTTTTCTGAAATGAAGTGAATTTCTTAGCCTGGAGAAGGGGGTAGGGGTTGGAAGGAGGGTGCTGGGCTCCTTTCTTCCTGCCAACTGCAGTTTCAACCCCAAATTCCTTCCACTCACCAACAGCCCCTAACAAATTCGCATTGTCAGAATGCACACTTATCAAAAGTCATTTCATTTGTGAAGAGTTTTTATGGGGCTAATAAAACTTTAAAGCTCCTGACTCATGGGGGTTCAGTAATGACTTTAACAATATGCAGTCGCTGAATAGAGATGCTTTTCAAGAAAACAGGCAAACTCAAGGGGAAAAAATAAATAAATAAAAAAAATCATCAAAGTTAATATCCAGGCTAATACCAATCAGCAAGAGGGCACATGACAGTAGATTTAAACCAGACGGATGCAAATCTCTGCCGGTGAGAGGGGCAGAGGTGGTTTCCCAATGTGGTCTGAGTTAAACAGTGTGAGGGAACAGTAGCTTACAGTTGTCAGGCCCGATGAGAACAGGGTCTCCTAGGCCAGTTTAAGACAGCTCTGCAGTGTACTGATTTACAGGGCTGGGACCCCTGATAATTAGGGTAAGTTTAGAGCAAAGCAATTGATGGCTCTAACTGGTTAAAAGGAAGGAATAATGAAGCAGAAAGTTAATGAAATCTGAAGTGAACAGCCTTCAGCTTGGGGCTACTAACCGTGCTTCTCCCAAGGTTGGGAGCATATGCCCGTTAATCGGACAGACGGGAACAAGGAGCCCATGTATGTATCCCTGTGTTGCGATCAAGGGGCACGTTCAGAGGTAATCTTTGGAAAATGCAACCCAGAACATTTGAACTGCTGTGAATGGACTCTGTCTGGGGCCATTAGGAAAGCCACATAAAGATGTATGCAGTTTAGTACAAACATGTCCAGCTGGAAGACAGCTCTGGCGCATAGCTGTCTAAAATGACTCTTCCAAATTAGGTAAACCGAACCATATGATGCTAATACTGGGTAATACAAATCCCCTATGTTTTCCTTCTCCAACCAGCAGTAATGGGTGTCTAGGGCTGGGCTGAAAGCTTCTGGATATGATGCAGAAGGGTAGCTTAAAAACACACTCCAAACCAATTTATGCTTTTAATTAAAGTCAGATTATCACTGTTTCAGCACACACCAATCCAATTTGCAAAAGAAAGATCTCTCCAAAGTATCCACTAAGGCAGCATCCAATTCCAAATGGAGGCGCATCTCTAGCAAACTTACAGCCTAATTTGTTGTTTTTTTTTTTTTTTTTTTCCAGAATATAATAATGAGTAATAGACCATCTCATATCTCTTTTTCTCCTCAGTCTGCAAACTCCCTTCCCAAAAAAGACAGATCGTGTCTTTCTAGGTATATTTCCATACAAAACACTTATTAACAGGCTGTTGCTGTTATCAATTTACATAAACTAAATGTGCAGCCCTCTGGTACATATCCCAAAAATAACCAACAACTTCACTGAATTTATACCAACCAACAAACATGGGGAGGGGGTTGTTGTTTTTTTTTCCCATATTTTAATAGAAAATATGTTGCTATGTTAGTTAACACACCCATGCCATCTGTTGGGTTGAAAATTGATGCATTTTCTTAGAACCGCTACGTTTTAGATCTGTCTGCCTAGATACCCCAGGAATGGAAACATTACCCATCCATGATATAATACTATTCACTGCAGTTTCCACATCAAGATTCAATTTATGTTTTTAATTGTGAAACAAACTGAGGGCACCTGGTTACCAAAGCCAGAGCTTATGATAGGGCTGACTCAGTGCCGACCCTTCCTACAATGGAGAAAATCCCACTGATGTTAGTGGGGTGTATCAGCTCTCCACGCAGGTTTGCAATAAAACATTTCATGGATAAATAAAAAAAATATGCTAAAACCTCTGACTAAATCTACTAAAACCATGGAGCAAAGGGAGAGCCCTTTCTACCTCATTACACAGGGAAATGTAGATGCTAATCTTATGGTAGGATTCATGCAAAACCTAAAATTCTAAGATAGGTAAACTACTTCAACATAAAACAGAGAAATAAGTAGTCCTTGGCACAATAATATATTTACAGAAGTAGATGCAGAAATAAGCACATTTTTCAGACACTGACAAGAATGAGCAAACGAGAATTTTTAAGGAATGGTGAAAGAAGTTATTTGCCCTGTTCTTCACACAAGAACTACAACATCAGATAATACTTGGTCATGAAAGAATAGCTGAGGAAGAAATAAACTTGATTGTTAAGTAAACTATTTCATGCCCAGGTAGCTTGGGGTGGTGGTGTCCTCATTGGGTCCCGCATGAGTTGGGTTCTTAACTGAACTAGAGAGAAAGACAACAGAGAGTTTCATGGTAAACTGTGGTACTATAAAAAGACACTAGATTTGCAACTTGTGTTGGAAAGCTCACTGGGAAAAAAAAAAAGGTTGTTCAGGGTGGCTACTTTAGTATCTCTTCTGTTTGACTCTGAGGAGGACACAGGAAGATGTTCATTATCACATGCAGCTACACCAACTGGAGAAGATAAAGGTTTTGGTGACGCAGCATTGCTAACAAATCCACTGCTACCCAGACACACAAACACTGAAATAAAAATTGGGAATACGCATATTGCTGGCTCGACTGGCACCCATTAAACCTAATAACTAACCATCCTCGAGAGTTTCTAGCTCTGAATTATCAAATCTGCAAAGAAAACAACATCCGTCCACTTTTACACTCCAGTGGAAGAGGTGGTCCCTCGCGGCAGGGCTGCGCGGTCTCGCCATCTGGAGAATAAATCGAGTGTGAAGTACAGTATAGTTTGGGACTAAGCTCCGTGGCGGCAGCCCAGCAGTTAGTTCATTAGTCCCAAACTTGTGGGGATTAGTACGGTATCAGCTCTACTGTTGGATGGGATCAGGCAGGCAGAGCGCGAGACTTGAGGAAGGGGGTGGTGCTAAAGAAGGAGCCCCTTGGGCTTATTTATAAAACTACACAATATAAGCGCACCTAAATAGGTGCTTTTGGTTAACAGTATTAGAAACCGTTTCCTATCAGCTGAATCAGTACCTTTTCATTTTTCCTTCTTTTCTTTATTTCCTGTTTTTTTCCTTTAAGTTATATGTCAAGACATAGAAATTTCTGCTTCAAAACAGAAGGAATGCCACAGAGCTGGAAGCTCAACCACCCACTCACCCTGGACATACTGTTAATACAGCAAAAATGAAGCAAAGATGGTCAGATTAACAGCAGATGGAAAAATTACATTTTCTTCTTTCTTTTCAAACTGGTATGATACCCTACAAACCAGTTTTCCGGCACTGTGATTTCTAGACCTACCTGATTTTGAGGACAAAGTCTCCATTTTGCTTTAACATTTTTGCCTAGTCGTACACCCTTTTTTTTCAAAAGACCCTCAGGTCTTAATATAAAGATGGTGTTCATATGTAAAGATATGTTTATGTATAGATCTTATCCTTTAAAATCTTTTGGTAGTAATTCTTCATATGGAAATATAACTATATGATGTGCTAAAATGGCAGGCCAGAATCTATCATCCTCATTGCCATAATAAGTTGGCATATTTCAAATGGGAGAGGAAAAATTAATTACTATAATCACAATTCAAGATTTTTTTTTTTTTGTGACAGGTCTGACATGGTAAAAACATACAATTATGTGTTAATGTTAATTCCTTGGAGTTGTTTGTTTATAGGACTTGATATTGCTGAATTTTTTGTCACTTATATTAGTGCCTGCCCTGTGAATGTGCCTCTCAAATAAGCTTTTGCAGAAGTGCATAAATATATTATATACCCATAGTGATTTTTGTGCAGAATTCAGTTTCTTTGGGGGAAAGCCTGATATTTTTTCATGCCTAATTTTCCAGCAATGAAGTGATGCCATATAGAATGATACTGCATTTAGTTTCAAATTCATAAATGAAACTGGCAAGAGAAAAGACAAATTACATTTGTTTTTAAGGAAACAAAGAGAACTCTAACTGTGGGGCAGAGCATTTCTGAGATCAGGAGGTGCTTGTCTCACAAGACTTGCCTTCTACCTTAGATGCATCAGGTACTTGTGAGAATAAATCTTTGAAATGGCAAATACTTATTTCTAGTTAGCCTTGTTAGACTGAAAAACTGTTGTAAAATATGCATACATCACAAAGCCTCCAGGAAGCGGTTATTAAATATTTTCTTATTGTTATCCTTGAGCAGATAATCAGTTAATGAGCTTTTAAAGACTTAGGAAATTTTAGAACACATTTTCTTTTGATTCAACATGGAACACACCAAACCCACCATG